GGAGGTAAAATAGTTCCCGGTTTGTGAGGGAGCCTTCCTTCTCCATTGGACGGCGACGTGTCGCGTCACTGTCACATGACCTTCCCGTAGCTGCTGAGTCCGTAAACACTGCACGTGACTAGAAGTTGTGCGAGCCATTGGAAGTGCCACCATCGCGCTACCTCCGGCCCAGGTGGGCGGCTGCTCCACGCGAGTCACGTGCCCGGCCTGTCGCGTGCAGCCGCTCCTCATTGGTCCGAAGTCTCCCCTGGGACGCCAATCAATTGGCCCAAACTTAGCGCCACAAACGAGAGGGCGGCTTCAATCCCTCCAGAGAGCCAGGCTGGGTGTCCTGACGTGAGGTGGGTCGCGGGAAACGCCCTAAGTCCTGGGCAAGCTTTGGAAAGCCACGGGGAGGCGAGGGGCCTGGCACAAGGCCCCCGAGTTCAGCCCCCAGCTCCGCAGAAAATTGGTGACTGTAAATGCATGGAAGGATGAGTTAGGAAGCCAGGGGGTTCCAGGCCCGCCTCGGAAGCAGCGTGATATCCTGGACAAAACAAGGTGAACACAAGTGGGCGGGGCACTGGACAGGTGTCTTACTACTTAACAGCACTGAACTGCTAAGTCAAAGGAGTCTAGTTTGGTTCCCCAAACTCCTAGGGCAGTAGCTACCTGTAACTCCAGCTCCAGGGGACCCGGTGCCAATTTATGGCTTATGTAGGCACCCAGCAACCAGACAAATGTGGCTTATGTGAGTGTGCGAGTACACCTACATAAAAATAAAGCCACCCAAAATTTAAAAACAGCAGGTCACAGTGTAGGACTGTAACCCCAAAATTGGGAAGATTCGGACAGGAGGATCAGACATTCAGGTTTGACCAGAAGTTTGAGGCCAGCCTAAGCCACAGGGAGACTGCCCCAAAACTTAGTATGGTGAACGACCATACTGGTTAGCGCAGCATCAATACTCTTGGACCTGAGGCTGGCTAAGGCAAGGGTATCATGGGTTTGAGGCCAATCTGACACACAAATGAGTGATGATGTGCCTGGTAGTACAGGCTGGTGATGGTATCTGGTGAGCTGAGTGGGGACTATGCTGAAAGCCCTAGGCTCCCTTTCAGTACCTAAAAACATGTAATAATAACTAGGTTTTTTTTTTTTTAGGTGGAAATTGGACTCCGGGCAGAGTGCTATACTGCCACTGCTACATACCCAGTCCTTTTTCAGTTTTAAGGCAAGGTCCTGGCTTGGAACTTGGTGATTCCGCCAAGGCCTCCTGGGTAATTGAGATTGCAGGCATTTGCCATTATGCATAGCTGTGAAATTATAATATTATTTCTACAAATGCCTCTACCAGGATTCAAGTTGGAACCTGCTTGAAAGCCTCTTGTGAGAGCTAGAGGATTAGCTCTCATAGCATCTCAGGGTGCTATGCAAGCTGCCAAGGAAGAGAAGCAATTAAAAACTCTATTCAGCTGTAAAGCCTACAAACGAAAATGACCAGCACAGCAAGATTGGGTGCAATAGTGGCACTTTTATCTCAAGGGTAACCAACAGCCACCTAATGGACTTCAGGCCTAGAATCGTGTGGTAGTGTCAACCTACTGCTGCCCTCCTAAACCAGAGTGATTCCCAACAGCAATATAAATAATACCTATCCATATGGCCACAAATACATGTTTCTGTCTCTCTCTCTCTCTCCCTCTCTCTCTCTCTCTCTCTCTCTCTCTCTTATACACACACACACACACACACACCATTAAAGAAGCTTCATCTGTAGCAGATGAAGGCCACCACAGTGATCCACAACTGACCAAAATGCAAAGGACACCTGACTGGTATGGTGTCCCTACAGTTGATACATCTGCAACACAACCCTTATATCTAAGACTCAGGGAACATTTTGAAAGGGTGGGCAGAAAGATGGTAAGAATGAGGGGACCAGGATGCCTGGTGTACAGTGTTGTCTTGGTATATGACAGGGATCTGCACCCATAAAATCTTAACAGTTACTGCCTAAATAAGACCTGCACAATGCCAGTTGACAGCCAGACATGGATGGGAATCTCACAAGGCCCAACCTTGAGATGAAGAGCTACTGGGAAGCAATAGCAGCTAAGAGAAAGACAATCAGTCTTTTCCAGGGATGAGCCCTCTGATAGATTAGCCTTCTAATCTCCAGTGGTTATTGGTAAACACGTACACTGATGAGCAACAGTAAATCAATTCAGTGGGTTGTATTTATATATAGATACAAGTGTGTGTGTGTGTGTGTGTGTGTGTGTGTGTGTGTAACAATAATAAAGAAGATGAGGTCGTGAAGGTGAGAGGAGTTGTTTAAGTACTCAAAATGTTTTTTTTTAATTACCCACAAAATAATTTTTAAAAATGTCTCCACTACTGAAATGAAAATTATATTTTTATGAGTGTGTCCACTGATGGAAGAAGAGCTTATCATTTTACTAGATTTATACTGACCCCTCAAATACATACACAAGTGTTTATTGATTCACGTAGTAAATCAAATCCAAAGGTATTTAGTCATATTTAGTAGATAGGCATCTCTAATTGCTTATGTTTTGTCTTCGGTCAAGAAATTGAGTGGAGGTTATTTTTTAGTTTTGATCTTCATTTCCATTTTTAAACTAGGGTCTTATTCTTGAACTAGGCTGATTTTCAATTCATGGCAAGCCTCACCTCTCCCCAAAGGCCTGAGCCACCATTCCTGACTTGGTCCTGATATTTTTAGACATTTTCCCAGGTCAGTTTCTACCATCAGTTAGGTCCTCAAACAATAATCCCAATCGCTCCCCAGCACACTTAAAGAAATAATGAGTCCCCAGACACAAAGTTAGAAAGTGGTTATAGCTCTTCAAGGAATAGGCCAGTGTGCTGCTCTTGCTGATGATTTGCCACGAACATTCTCAAGTATTGACTCTGACTTCAGGGTAGGTTTCTAAGGGGGGAAGTGCTTCTGTGTATGTCTTTGTCTTATCGGATGATAAATAAAATACTGTTTGGCCAATGAGGCAGCAAGTTAGGCAGGACTAAGAGTCAAGGAGGATTCTGGGAAATGTAGTAATAAAGTGATGATCCAGGCAGGAAGTGACATAGCAGGGAGACTCATATATAGGACAAGAAGGAAGTGGTCTCCTCTCTTCCTCCTGGTCTCTGCTCTGGAGTCCATGTGATCCGCTGGCAAGAGAGGGCACCAGCGCAAGGCATCCTCAATAAGTCTTATAAAAATATAGATTTATGATAATTAAGACTGAGCTAGCAGATGAGAAATCCTAGTCATTGGCCAAGCAGCATTTGAACCTAATATAAGTCTCTGTGTGTTACTTGGGATCTTAACATGGCGGTGGGCGGAACTCGGGCAGCCTGGCAGAAAGGACCCATGTGGCAGCAGGGCTTGGGTGGTTAGAAGAAAGACTTGTTACAGATTTCATTATTTGGGCCCTGGTAATGTAAAAAACTCCAATCCACCCTTTTGTGATCCCTCCATCCTCACTAAAGTTGTAGTTTGTGATCACTTAAATATAGTTCTAGCTATGCAAAAAAAGTGAAAAACAACTGGGGCTATAGCTCAGTGGTAGAGCACTTGCCAAGCATGCATTATGCCTTGGATTTCATCTCTAGCATGCCCCCCCCAAAAAAAAACAAAGTGGAAAAAAGAGTCTATTTCATACTCTTTGAAGGGTTGAAGTAGAAAAAAATGAGTATAATGGTTTATGTATTAACTATTCATTCATTTTTCATTTGGCCTGTAGGTGATGTTTTTATTATAGGTTAAATATAGGGATGTATGACTAGAAATAAAGTGAAGTAAATGTTAGCCAATAGGTTGGATATTTTCTGACGTTATGTGAAGTATTAGAGGACATACATGATGAGTGAATTCCTCAGTATGCATTTTTACATCTTTTTGTACTGTGTTTTGAGACAGGATCTCTCTATGTGACCCAGGCTACCATATGGCCCAGGCTCTACTGAAACTGATGATTCTGCTGCTTCAGCTTTCTGAATGCTGTGATTACAGGCTGGTTTAGATACAGACACTGCCTCCTTATCTTTCTTTAAACTAACCTTTGCCTATGCAGCTGTGGGAAAGGTTCAGAAAAGAATGGCTCTGTAAGTATTATGACAAAACTGTTGTGTAAAAAAAAAAAAGTTTGGGAAGTTTTTTCCTTTTTTAAAATTATTTTTTATTGATTATTTGGTAGTCTCACATTATGCACCCCAATTACACTGACCTTCCAGTCTTCCCATGCCCCTTGTGATCTCCCCACAAAAAAGTACATTTTGTGTTGTATATATATATATTCACTTGAGCATGGTGAAATTCCTAGTGACCAGTGCCCAAGGAAAGATGAATCTTTCTCTTCCTGTCATGCCAGAAACTATCAATTGAGACCCCTTCGGTAGGAGCCAGGGCCAGCTCTCCCAACACCATTGCCACTGCCTGTACCACAGTGTAGGACCAAGAGATGGGTGGAACCATCTCTTCCAAGCAGTGGGGCATTAATATGGTTTCAGGCAGTAACCTAGAAAACAGACCACCCCATGGGCTTTGGTGATAACCCTGGCTGCAGACATCTAATGGGGAATGTACTGTGGTATGTTCATCTTATTGATTATTGAATAAAGTACTGTTTGGCCAATGAGGCAGCAAGTTAGACAGGACTAGGAGTCAAAGAGGATTCTGGGAAATGTAGTAGAGAAGTGGTGATCCAGGCAGGAAGTGACATAGCAAGGAGACTCATATTTAAGCAAGGACAAGCAGGAAGTGAGCCCTTTTTCCCCTTCTCACTTCCTCCAGAGTCACGATGTGATCCACTGGCAAGGGAGGACGCCAATGGAAGGCATCTAAGTCTTATAAAATATATAGATTTATGATAATTAAGACTGAGCTAACAGATGAGAATCCTAGTCATTGGCCAAGCAGCATTTGTACATAATATAAGTCTCTGTGCATTAATTTGGGCCCTAACTCGGTGGGTAGAACTCAGGTGGCTGGCAGAGACTGCCCACGTGGCAGTAGGGCTCGGGTGGCTTTTGGCGGAAAGATTTATCATAACAGACATCAATATGGCCCTTGGCTATATCAGGACCACTGACCCCTTAATGGCCCTCAGCAGTTGCACAGGGCACAAGCCGAGACATGACATCAGGTGGTTGGACATGCTGCTCACATCAGTATAGCACCCCAAAGCAGCAAAGCCTGAAGATATCACCAAGGTCTCAGGCAGTATCACAAACAGTCTATGAGCATATGGATCTCAGACTTCATTGGGACCTGGGGTACTAGCATGGACCACAGACACCAACATGGCCTCTGGTGGCATGTTGGTGGTCCTTGAAGGACCACAGAGGTCCTTCAAGGAGGTCTAATCCAGAATGTGACCGTTCCTCATCTCAGGCCTCTGTTGTTGCCAAGAGCTGGGAGGATACTGAGGCCAGGTTCAGTGGCTGAGTCTGCAACTGATGAGTTCCAGGCTGTTGTATACCACCATGCCAACCCTACTGGGGAATGACAACACTGCCATCGCCATCACATCTCCAATTCCACCTCTCTCCATACTGCACACACACCTCTCCATCACATATTTCCCCCTTTTTTTTTTATTTATGAGACAGGGTTTCTCTGTATTGTTTTAGAGGATGTCCTGTAACTCACTCTGTAGACCAGGCTGGTCTCAAACTCACAGAAATCTGCCTGCCTCTGCCTCCTAAGTGGTGGGATTAAAGGCATTTGCCACCAACGCCCAGCTACATATTTGCTTTTTGTAGTGTTGCCCACTGCCAGGGGTGGGACTTGGCTGCCTTCTGCCGCTACCCTGGGCCACATGACCCAAATCTTTTCTGTTTTGAAAAAGATTATTTTAAAAGTTATATTCATCTATTGATTTGTTTGTTTTTGAGACATGGTCTTGCTTTGTAGCCATGGCTGGCCTGGAGCTCACAGATACTCACCTGCATCTGTCTCCCAGTCAGCGGAATCAAAGGCATGTACCACCACTATATTTAGCACACACACAGTTGCACTCTACAGAGAGTGTGTGTGTGAGTTTATGTGCACCAACTGTAAGCAGGAGCCTGCTGAGGTCAGAAGAGGTAGTTGGAATCCCTTGAACTGTGTTACAGGCATCTGTGAGGTGCTGTGTAAATGCTGCAAGAACAGTAAGCATTCTTTACTGCTGAGCCATCTCTCCAGCCCCTTCTGTAAACCTTGATTGCCAAAACTTTCTTGGATGGAGCCACTACCTAGTCTGAAGATGGAGTAATCACTCACTACCTGTTTTAAATAATACATGCAGAGGGAGGGATCTCTATTAGTCAGGCCTTTATTATTGCCACCACCCAGAGAGGGAGAAGCTGGGATGGGATATCAAATAGCAACTCAGAGAAAATGAAGTCCCTTGCTTTGATAGACATTAGAAGGGAGAAGTCTCTGAAACTATAGGAGAGGAGTTCTGAATTTAACAGATTGGGGAAGATACTAAGCTGGACAGGTCACAATTTAGGAAGTTAATCCTGTTGTTTCACCATACCTTGGAGCTACTATGACAGCAATTTAGGTGTGGCTGATCCTTTGTAGAGAGGTGTCTGTGTTCTAATAGTGCCTACAGTTCTGTGCAGAGCCCTGTAGGAGAATCCAGATCACTAAAGTCTATCTTTCCTTCAAGTGACAGTATAGTTTGATAGTGATTAGAAATTACACACCCAGAAAACAAGGTAACTTATGAGAAAGGCCATAAAAGTTGCAGAAAACATATCAACATGAAGGAATAATAGTTCTGGTCTTCAGATAGATAGACAGATAGATAGATAGATAGATAGATAGATAGATAGATAGATAGATAGATAGATTAAATAGATGGATGTATGAATGACAGACAGATAGGTGACACACACATATATTTTAATTTGTATGGGTGTTTTGCTTGCATGTCTGTCTATGCATCACTTTCCTGCCTAGTGCCTACAGAAGCCAGCAGAGGGCATCAGATCTCCTGTAACTGGATTACAGATGGTTGTGAGTCACCATATAGGTGTTGGGAATTGAACCCAACTCCTTTGGATGGGTATCCAGTGCCTTAACTACTGAACTACCTCTCCAGCTCTGTTCTTTTGGTCTTTAGTCCAAAGACTTTTGGTGCATGACAGACAACATCCAAACAGTGGCATGGTCTCCTGATTCTCTCATGTTCTCTGAGTGGTTCTTTTAATATATCGTTTGGACTTCCTCATGAACACACGCTCAGGAGATTACTGGAAACAGCTCATTGGCCAGAGATGGCCTCACTCACATAGATGATAATTTGGAGAATCAGATTGGCCTAGCTTCTATGGAGTGTAGTGCTGCTGCAGTGCAAAAGCAATAAAAGAGAAGTTACTAATCATCTTTAGGCTAGGGCACAGCACTACCACGATTATTTCTTTACTATATTCTAGTGTTCATAGTAAACCATGGAACCTGTCTATATTCAGTGTGATATACTAGACCCCCACTCACTCCCTATTTTTTTGAGGTGGAGTCTTACTATGGTAGGCTAGACTGGTGTTGAACTCTTGGGGATTCT